TAGAATTACACCACCCTGGTGACTTAACCCTACCTCTTCAGGGCACAAAGTGAGGGTCTGCATCAAGGACCCAGTTACAGCATGCTGGAATTGGGGTCCTGTAGTTAAGACAGTAGAGGGTGCTGCTACTCTGGCAGAATTTAGCAGAAAGCTAACAGAAGGAGGAAGTAGGTCACAGGGAGGGTTCCACTGGGTTGTTGCTTTTGCACTTTCTTTTTTTCTTTTTTGAGATGGAGTCTCACTCTGTCTCCCAGGCTGGAGTGCAGTGGTGCAATCTTGGCTCACTGCAAACTCCGCCTCCCGGGTTCGAGCAATTCTCCTGCCTCAGCCTCTCAAGTAGCTGGGACTACAGGCGTGTGCCACCATGTCTGGCTACTTTTTGTATTTTTAGTAGAGACAGAGTTTCACCATGTTGGCCAGGCTGGTCTCGAACTCCTGACCTCAGGCAATCTACCCACCTCGGCCTCCCAAAGGGCTGGGATTACAGACATGAGCCACCATGCCCAGCCTGCTTTTGCACTTTCTAAACATACAGTCATCCTTCGGTGCACAATCAACAGAGTGACGACCTTACAATCAATCGCAAAATTTCTCCAGGATGGACTGCAACAGAACCGAGGGGCTAGAAGCCGCTTAACCATTGTATCACTTGGCTTGTGCCCAAATAGCACGAGGCCATAACCATGAATGTTTCTCTACTAAAATGGGAAGGAAAAAAAGGCCTTCCTCATTTTTAATAACTTTATTCCCCAAACTTCAAAAATGAAATTGCCAAGTTAAGAACTTGCCTTGAAAAAAAATTCTAATTTATTATAAAGAAGGTCCGGGGCTTGGGAATTTTTTAATGCAGATTCCTAATTTTCCAAAGTGAGATTCTCCTGTGCATTTGAATAGATTATGCTCGGTATTGCTAGCCCTTAGCACAACGGGAACATTATTAAAACGATCGCATGGGTCTCAGAGGAAGGGCTCTGCGTCTCGCTTCCTTTTTCATTTGGGGGACTTCGTATCAGAGACTGTCCATTTGTTGCCTGTGGAAGAAACTGGGTTTCTGAGGAGGTGATGGAGAAGTGTGCTTAGCTGCCCACGTTGTGAGGAAACAAGTCATACGTGGTCCAAACATGATGAGATTAGACCTAAAGGAATGAGGAGGGAGTGGGCCTTGTTTCCTGAGAGCTCTGTTTTGGACAGGATTCCCTGGTGTGCCTGACCCATGTCCCCATCAAGCTCTGCTTCCCTGACGATGTGGAGTCTCAGAGAGTGGCTGGTTCTCGGGGATACGAACACTCTAAAGGGAAATGCAGTAGAGTCTCCCCCTAGGAAGCTGGGGTCCATATCTCGAAAAGATAAAGGGAAGAAGTCAGGGGTCCAATGCAAGTTTGCAGAAAGTGCCAGCAGCCAGGCAAGCATGGAAGAGCTATTCCTACAAGGGAGCCCCTCCTAGAAGCCCGAAAGAGTGGGCAGAAGGCCCTCAAATACCAGCCCTCTCCGCAGAGAACAGCCTCTCCCCCTAGAGTCAGAAGCCTTTGTTCTGGAGGCCTCCACCAGCTCCCCTATCCCTCCCACTCCACCCCTGCCCGAGCTCCTCTCCCTTAGCCCCACATCCAGCTCAGTTTCCTTGGGAACCAGCTCAGCTTGGGGAAGGCCAATGGCAATTTGGGCATAGCCTAGTGGCTTCATCAAGGCCATGAAGACCCTGACACCTTGACCTGGTCAGTTCACCATGGACACTGATGCTTCTCGTCAGATATTTCACTCATGGATTGCCAGGGTTACAAATAGATGGCAGCTTCCCCAGGGCAAATTATTCCTTTGCTCTAAGTGTGAAGATTTTAAATGGTGACAGTCTGGAGGATCCTCAGAGAGGAGAGCCTTCGGGCAGTCCCTGTATCTGGCTTCTGTCTAAGACCTTAGATAGGGAAGTGGAGTCTCCCTTCTACCTCACAAAGGCTAGAGCAGCTTAGTGGTGACTTCTGGGGAGCTGAGCACCTTAGGACTGCAGCCCACCTCCATCCGTCCCTCAACAGCTGGGATGTATTAATCCAGCTGTATGCTGACCATTAAATTAGGCTTCTGGATCAGCATTCAACACAGGCCCTTGCTGCAGCTCTCCCGCTAATCCCCGCCAAACCAAAACTTCTCCCAGCTGCCCAGGCAGTCAAAACAGGGAGGGGTGGGTGAGAGGGGAGCGGCCGCCATCAGTCATGCCAACGCAGTGTTCTCTGACCTCTCAGCCCTGCCCTGGTCTATCCTTGAGTCTTGGGTATAGAGGTGTGGGCCTTGGCAACTACCACCTGCTAAATACAGGAAGAGTCCCCATCTCTGTTCCCCATTCTGACTGGAGAGAGAATCCAGTTACAAAACGAGTGGAGCCCAAGTTCCCACCACTGAATTGATATGTGGGCACCGATGTGTGCTGGCTGAGCAGAGTGGGAACGGATCTGCTGCTATCGAAGAAGGAAGATCTTGCCCCTATTCTGGCCCCTAGCTTCTCCTTCTCTCACTTCTTTCTTGGGAGGCAAAAGGTTCCCATCAGTTGAGGGCTCCTTCTGAACTTTGTCTCGGAAGCTGAAACTACAGAGGGAAGGGACTTGACATAGTGCTGAATGCCTGGAAGCTTTCAAATACAAGAGCCATGTAAAGGCCAAGCTCAACCCTGTGGCTTATTCATGGAAACTACTGGCATGAGCAGAGGGGTCACTGAGGATGGGGTTAGGCTGGGAGAGCTGGGGAAGTAATGTGATTTGATATGTGGGAGCGGGGCCGTAGACATGTGCTCAGAGATGGGTGAAGGACCTGGCTTCTGTCTAAGACCTTAGATAGGGAAGTGGAGTCTCCCTTCTACCTCACAAAGGCTAGAGCAGCTTAGTGGTTACTTCTGGGGAGCTGAGCACCTTAGGACTGCAGCCCACCTCCATCCGTCCCTCAACAGCTGGGATGTATTAATCCAGCTGTATGCTGACCATTAAATTAGGCTTCTGGATCAGCATTCAACACAGGCCCTTGCTGCAGCTCTCCCGCTAATCCCCGCCAAACCAAAACTTCTCCCAGCTGCCCAGGCAGTCAAAACAGGGAGGGGTGGGTGAGAGGGGAGCGGCCGCCATCAGTCATGCCAACGCAGTGTTCTCTGACCTCTCAGCCCTGCCCTGGTCTATCCTTGAGTCTTGGGTATAGAGGTGTGGGCCTTGGCAACTACCACCTGCTAAATACAGGAAGAGTCCCCATCTCTGTTCCCCATTCTGACTGGAGAGAGAATCCAGTTACAAAACGAGTGGAGCCCAAGTTCCCACCACTGAATTGATATGTGGGCACCGATGTGTGCTGGCTGAGCAGAGTGGGAACGGATCTGCTGCTATCGAAGAAGGAAGATCTTGCCCCTATTCTGGCCCCTAGCTTCTCCTTCTCTCACTTCTTTCTTGGGAGGCAAAAGGTTCCCATCAGTTGAGGGCTCCTTCTGAACTTTGTCTCGGAAGCTGAAACTACAGAGGGAAGGGACTTGACATAGTGCTGAATGCCTGGAAGCTTTCAAATACAAGAGCCATGTAAAGGCCAAGCTCAACCCTGTGGCTTATTCATGGAAACTACTGGCATGAGCAGAGGGGTCACTGAGGATGGGGTTAGGCTGGGAGAGCTGGGGAAGTAATGTGATTTGATATGTGGGAGCGGGGCCGTAGACATGTGCTCAGAGATGGGTGAAGGACCAGAGCTTTTGGACCTTCAAGGGCAGAGCAGTCGAAGGGGTTCCATATGCTGAGTACGCTAGAAAGAGGCCCCAGAGCATCTGGTAATCTCCCGGGGGATGACAATGATGTATAAAGCAGCTACTATATGCTCTCACTAGGCTGGGGGCATCAGGACCATAGTGAGCACAAGCCCAGCATCTGCATCTTAAGACCCCTTTCATGCTGCACAAATTTTCCATGTAGCCCATGAGAACCGCTGTGTTTGATGAGTGAGGGATGGCAGGGTAAGGCAGAGACTGGCTGCTGGAGGAGTGCAGATGGTAGCCTGCCCATAGCACTCAGCGGGCAACTGCTGCACATGGGCAAATGTGAGGATGGACATGTTAGCTGGGTGCATTTCACATCACAGGTGCCCAATAAATAATTGTCGAATTCATATTGACAGGAGAGTGCAAAGGGAGGCGTCAGAGAATGAAGGCTTCTGTGAAAGCACAGACACAAAACTCAAAGTTTCCAAAGAACAAAGGGTGGACAAGAGGAGCACCTGGGGGAAGCAAATAGGAAAAGCGGCTGGTCTCAAGGATGTGGGAGGGCAGCCCCCACAAGCTGGGCAGGCTTCCAGGAGGAGGAGGGCCGACAGCATGAAGACAGCGAGAAGGCACTGCTGAGGAGGGGCTGTTGCAGGAGTGGCAATCGGGGTAGGGGGTGCAGAAGATCTTGGGGGGCAGCTGTGTCTGAGCTGAGGGGTGGAAGCTGGGGACCAGAAGAAAGGGGTTGTGGGGTATACAGAAGGAATCTTGGCTTTTAAAAAGTAGAAGCCCAGAGGAGTTCTGAAGAGAACAGAGATTCTCCCGATAGGCAGGCAGAGGAGGACAAGAGCCCAAGTGACGGAGAACGGGGGCCTGACACTCAGGAGCCTCTGAGTAGCAAGTTTCTCAAACACTCAGAGGGCGGTTCCACTCACATCTGGTACCTGGGTCTCCCCAGCTGTGGATTTTGCCCCAGTCACAACAAAGGGGTTTGGCTGGGCTTCTCTGCTGTCTGAGGGGTGGGGTGGGGGACAGGACTGTGGCCATTACTCTAGCTTCCAGTCCTAGGTCCCGGGTTCTGAACCTGGTGACTCCCCTTGGGGGTCTATGTTTGCAGGACTCTCGCTCCCCAGGCTGAGGGGGAAGACCCAGGAGTGCCGCCAGGACATGACTGTGGGAGGCCTGGCTCAGCCCGTTGGCCCCTGGAATATCCCAGCCTGCAGCGGGGGCTCTAACGCCACCACACTCCCTCCCCCATGGTGGGAGGCAGCGGCCCCTGCGCACTCACCTGTGGGCTGTCCTGGTAGGGTGGGGGCGGGACATTCTGCGTGGCCATCATCGTCAGAGCGGGGGCTGGGGAGGCATGTTGCATCATGGGATTGATTCACATGGAGGACCTGTGGGCAGGAGAAAGGGGGCCGCACCGTTAACACCGCCGAGCAGGCCCGCCCTGGGCACCCAGCAGCTCCCTGTGTCCCCCGCTGGGCCACCTGGGCCGGCTGGATGCAGCAAGGGTTGCACGCCCTTCAGGGCAACAAATGAGAGCTAAGGGAGAAGCCTGGGTGGGGAGGGGCTTGCTGTGCTATTTTGACTTGAAAGAAACAATATTCAAATCATATGTAAAACAACCGGTACCCCTGCAGCGGCGCTTTGTTCAGCATCAGCTCAGGCCTGTTGTGCATGTGGGGAGGGGTCCTAAGGGGGAGGAGGCCTGCCTGGTAGGAGCACGGGGCACTGGAGACCATTTGGATACCCCTCCTTCCCCAGGAGGGCCCTGAGTCCCAGCCTGATAAGGGTGCTCCTGACCCCGCTGTTCCCTAGGCTTTCTGGAGCAGCCACAGCGCGCACAGGGGCAGGAGGGCCCCAGGCCAGCTACAGAGCCCCAGGGTCCTCAAGCGCTGAGCTCGCCCCTCCCCAGGGCTCACCACACCTCCTAGTGGTGGCAAGGACACGGGGCCCCGGACCCCTCCTCAGACTGCAGCCCCAGGGTGGCTGCCTGGAGGCCTTGAGGAAGGGAAAGAGGCAGGGAATGCCGTCCACTCCTGTACTTTTCCAGGCGCGGGCTTGTGACTATGGGCGTGTCCACAGATGTGCCTGCATATCCTATTAAGCAGGACTTTCCTCAGCCTTGGGTTAGTATGGTCACCGGAATGTGTGGGTGCGGGAAGAGCTGTCAGAGCCAAATGGGCTACCTGCCTCTTTGGCTGGTAGAAGACAGAGGCCAAGGATGACTTGTGTATGGGAGGGCGGGGGTTGGGGGACTTGCTGGTGAAGCTGGGATGGAAGCAGCACCTCCAGATTCCCAGCTCTGGGTCTGCTCCACTGTTCCCCCCACCTTTTCCCCATCACCAGTAAGCAGGCGAGCTGTGCCCATGAAGCCTCAAGACTTCCTCTTGAACTAGGATGTGGTGCCATAAGTGGAGATAGCCCAGCTGTGCCACCCAAGAAACAGAATGCCCAGAGAGCTGTTGTGCTACAGTAGATGCTCTGAAATATTTAGATCTAGAAGCCACAGGCTAGTTGCCTGATACGGGGCTGTCCACTGTAGGGTAGGAGGTTGCTAAGAGCCTCTGTGGAGTGCAGGACGTGTTCTTCTCCTGGGTGGAGGGCACTGTTGGTCTAGAAGCCTTTGTGAGCACGGCACTCACACCCTCCGTCCCCTCTCCCTCAAGCACCCAGGGCTTCATCCTTTTCCAGCCTGGCCCTTCCCAGGCTCTTCCAAAATGTTCACAGACCTGAATTCTGTGGGAATTTGAGAGTGCTTTGGAGCTGCTATCAACTAAAGGGGCTGGCCTCCAGGGTCGTGTGTGTGTGTGTGTGTGTGTGTGTGTGTGTGTGTGTGATTCATTTGGTTCTTTCTCAGGAAAGGGAAGTAAGAGCTACTCTGACCTGACCTGAGTCTCCAAGATACCAAGTACACTTTGATCTTCTGCAAAAAGCACTGGAAATGCGTGTTTCACTCAATAGATGTCTACCAACTACCAACTCTGTGCAGAGAACTGAGTGAGGAGTGTGGTGAGACAGATGAATGAGGCAAGGTCTTCTCTCCAAGGAGCATGGCTAGGAGAGGGAGGTCATGGTCCTACAGGAGGAAGAAAGTGAGGTGGAGGTGGGTGGAGAAGGCACAGGGAGGGATGGCTCCCCCAGTGCTAAAAACACCGACTGCGGGCTGGTTCCATCGGCCTCACTGCCTGTTGCTCGCCCCCACCTGGACGGACCACCAGGATATCTTCACAACAGCATGCAGCGCCTCGCCCATCTCACATGCCACTGGTCCCTGAGATCCAATTTCCTTTTGCAAGGGGACGCAGGAGGGGGCCTTGGGGGAGCCTCTCTCTTCACGCAGGGGAACCAAGGCCTCTGTTCACAGCTGGATTTTTGTCTGCGTGGTGGTCAGCATCCCAGAGAGCCAAGAGCAGAGTGAGGGTTGCAGAGGGAAAAAGGTGTGTGTGTGGGGGGGATACAGACTCTTTGAGACATCAGAAGGAAGTTCCAGAATTAAGACTTTTGAGATATTAAAGTGGGTGGAGTTTCTCTTTTTTGGACCCTGACAAAATAAAGGAAATAGGAATGTTTCAGGGGACTATGAAACATAGCCTTTCCTGGAACTCTGGCAGAGAAGGCAACCTTGGATAGGGCCCAAGGTCCAGGATGGTGGGATCTCAGAGCACGGATCACAGATGCTCACCGGCAGGGGAAACACGTGAAGGGCTATAGCACTGTAGTGCCTGCAGCCTCCAGAAGAGGGAGCCTGGGGGCAGAGTCAGCGTGGGAGCCGCCTCAGGAAGGAGGGCTTTCTCCCCTCTTAGGGGCAACTAGTTCTCTTTAACCTCGGGCTTGGGTCTTTTGGTAACCTCATTCCATGGATTAGAAAGTCATAATGAAGGCAAAACAAAGGAAGCTCAACGAGGGGGCATAGGCTACAGAGAGGCGCCTTTCATTCACATTCTTTTGTTCACCGTCCAATGAATGGAAGGCAGGGTCATTTCAGAGGCGCTGTCCCTAGAAACATTGGTAGCAGCAGGAGGGCTGCCGTGTCTGGGGGTAAGGAGGGATGGCTAAGAGTGGTCTGCACCCAGAGACAACCACCTGTGAGGCTGAGAGAAGACTGTTCAGTCCTGAGCCCACCAGGCTGCGGAGCAGGGCCAGACCCGCCTAGGAAGAAGACACAGGAATAATATTCTGAGGACCCAGATGGCCCTGGACCCTCCCCCTCCTTGGGGTCACCATAGGCCACTAGGCCACTGCCCCATTACCCTCTGGGGGCTTCTCCTGCAAGAGAACAGGAGGCCTTTTCAACAGAGGCTTAAGTTTCCTTCTCTGCTCGCTCAGGCACAGGAGCCTCTGGCAACTTGACACTCCGGGAGCTCAGCTGCGGGAGGACCCTGCACCCATGTCCGGAAGCTGGCTCTTTGCCTCACACCTCTCCACCCACACATGCACTTCCCCGGTTCCTGAGAGGCCACGTGCAACCATCCTGGAGAGGAATTTGGGGATCTGACTCGCCTTATCTGGGACTTGGCTGGGACTTTGCAGTGGGGTGTGGGGGAACTCCTTGAGCCACAGCAGGGGTCCTGGCCCTTTGGGGGAAGCCTGCCTTTTTTGCATTTTCTCTGGGAGAGGGAGAGAAGCAGCAGGCCTGAGCCCCTGCAAACCCACCTCTGGGCGTCAGAGTTTTTGTCACGGACTCTGAGAGGCTGCTTGGCCCTGTCCAGAGGCCCCAGTGCTCTGTCACAAGACACCTGGGCATTCAAGGGGGGCACAGGCAAGACTGCAAATGGAGGCCAGACAGGAGCGTCTCCCACGGAGAGATTTCCCATCGCGAACAGGCTCACGGGGAAAGGTTGCTTTTTGATTTGTTTTGTTCAGTGCTGAAAACCTTTATGATAAGACATCTAGGAGGGAAAAATTCTCGACCCCACAATGTTAACCGAGAAGAAATCATTTGTGTCTCCGATATCGTCAGAAGAAACTAAAATGCCATGTTAGAGAGCCCAGAGCCGGCGAGGCACGGTCAGTGGCTGCAGAGTCATAAAAGCGCACCCCTTTAGGAAATGGGATGGGCAATCCTGGGCACGCGCCTCCCTCAGCCTCCTCAACCCACTCCCCCCACTGCCCTGTACCACCAGGCCGGCAGTCTGGAGCCCCAAATCCAGTGTGTTGACAAACAGGCTCAGAAAAAAATACCAAGCTCATTAGGAAGGAGCTCATTAGGACTTGTTGACATGAAACCCATTAGACCAATTAACATTCCATTAACGGCCTGGGGCACCAAGGGGTTAATGCTGCTGGGCAGTAATTGGACCAGGGTGCCGGGGTTGGGGGCTCAGGGCCTTAAGGATGAGACACAAAGTCTAATTGGGAACTCTCTGGCCAGCTGGCCTGACAGCATTTGTTCCTGGCCCCTGACCCTAGCTGAGACAAATTGATGGGGGAGAGGGGAAGTAGGGTCAGCTCACTTGGCCCCTCACTGTCCCACCCACCTGCCCCAAACTGGAGACTGGGCCCATGGTTGGCACAAAGACAAGGGGGAGGGCACACTCCCACCCTCCTGGAATCTGACAGTCCTGTTTTCTTCCTTCCCGCCCTTCCCCCCACTCCCTCTGGTCAAATTTCTTTCTCAGCCCCGGGAAAGTGAGTCCCTTCTCCCCAGAAACTGCTTTTCAGTGATGTTACCCTCTTAGAAGAACTCTAAAGATGCTGGAATCTTTCAGGCCCAGAGCCTCGTTCATTTGAAGAGTGCTGGAGTTCAGAGAGAGGGATGGAGGGGATGGTGGCCCTGGGTCCACCTGCCTTCTGGCCCCTGACTTCCTCCCCTCTTTCCTCCCTTCCTCCCTTCCTTCCCCCCTTCCTTCCTCCCTTCCTGTCCCTTCTTCCCTCCTTCCCTCCCTCCCTCCTTCCCTTTCTTCTTCCCTTCCTCCCTCCCTTCCTTCCTCCCTTCCTTCCTTCCATAGCAGCTAAGAGGCACTCCTGAGGCCCCCTAGGAATGCTTCTGGTCTGTCCTCTGACACACACAAGCAGCGTGTTCACGATTTTCCTTCCCTTGAGACAAGTAGGGGCTGTGGAAGTCCCATCCCCTGTCTGGGTCTCAATTTCCCCATCTGTAAACTTTGGGATTGGATGAGGGAATTCACAGGGCCACCCCTCAGTTCTCAGTTCCCATGATCTAAGCCTGGGCTTGGGGCAAAAAAGTCTGGATTCCACATCCAGTGGAATCTACCACTTATTCTGTAGCCAGTACAAGTCACTTTCCCTCTCAGACTGCAAAATGAAGGGATTTCCCCAGAATATTCGGGAAGCCTTTGCCCAGGATTTGCACTGCACATATTCTTGTTGAATGGAACGGAAAGGGTTGGATTGTAGCTTCTTTCTAAAGGCCAGCCAGTGCCTGACTTCT